AAAAAAAAAAAAAAAAAAAAAAAGAGAGAGATAATGACAGTGATTCGGCTTGGGCCGCCGATGTACCCGTCCCTGCATTTTAATCAGGCTCATGACCCGAGGACGACCAGACCGCACGCACGAAACCCAAACGCGAGAAGGAAAAATGTACCCTTTCCCAAGTTCCTTACCCCAGCCCAACAGTCCCTGACGCATCCCCACCTTCCTGGAACTTTCCGGCAAGTTTTAAAAGCCTTCTGTTTCACTACTGGCCCTTATTGAGAGTGAGAATTTACATCTCTTTCAGGAGAAGTGAACCTACTCATCAAATTATGTCCTACGAAACCTGCAACAGCTCGTAGAGCGAACAAAGAAAAGTCCCAAACACATTCTGGAAGATTCAGAAAACTTGTTCAACCATCCTTTTTTATTCCATTACTTTTGATACATGACTGCGCTTAGAAAGCACAATTTTAACACACACGCACTGGCTGAATCAAGGGGAAAAAAGTGAAATCGCATAATTAGCCCAGAAATTAGCAAACAACTCACTTTTAAAGTCAGAGTGTTACAACAACAAAAGCCCTGTGTATAAAAACAGATGTTAATGCCTTAGGATTTGCAGGTAGAGCCCACGTGTACAAGAGATCAGAAAGAACTACACCAACAGATGGAAAAGATCATCTTTACTATGAACAAATCCAAATATTTTTTAAGTGAATGGAGGGGGAAAAAAAAGTAGTATTTCTTTGTAAAAATCTGTACATCTAGGATATGAGGAACCAGAAGGGCTTCCCTTCACTCTGAAAATTCTCACCTAAACTTTGATCGTTGCAAAGCAAATGAATTCCATATTAAAATGATTTCAAACTTTTAAATAAAGGCGTACTGTATTCAAATGAAACTCCAAAGCTTTGCAGGTTCAACATTCCCCCCCCCACCAACCCCCCCAAAAAAAAGCCTTGCTAGAAAAAGAGAAACTATTTTTTTCTGACTCTGCCTTACCTCATTCAACAGAAAATACTTTGTTTCAATAAAACTTGATATATTCTGTTCTCCCACTAGCTTCTATTCTCTCAAATATGCATCGTTGCCCTTGTTTTCTGGTGAAGGAGGGTGAAATGGAGGGGGAGCAAAGGCGAGGAGGTACAAAGGGTCAAAATTCAACTGTAAAATTCAACTCCTTAAAAAAAAAAAAAAAAAAAAAAAAAAAAAAGAAAAAAAAATCAAGAAAACCCGACTTCCCTTTTCCTATGACCAGAAGCAAGGTTCCACACCAACCAGCTCAGAAAGTACATTTGGGGAACGGATACATGGTAATTTAATATTCAGAAATTACCTCCCTGCTTTTTCTACACTTTGCCCAAGATGGGCTAAAAGTTTCATCCTAGCCCCCAAATGCGTTCCGCACGACGCCCCAGCTAGAATACACCAAGATTTACAATACAATCACTTTGAGTGCTCCACAGCTAACATCAATCCTAATCCTTGAGAGGGCTAAAAATAAAGATTGGAGGGCAGCTCACAAGGTAGCCGTGATCAAATTAGGAGGCTGACAGGACAGAGAGGGACGAAGAAGGAAGCTTATAAACATCTGATCCAGCTGACTGTGGCCATATGGCAGCTGCTGCCGAGATAAAGAGATTAAGAATGGAGGAGTGCGATTACAGCTGTCTGGCCAATTCAGGCAGCTCAAATCTACAAGTTCTAAATTAGTCGCTAACACAAAAACTCCTGCAAATAATTATTGTTATGCTGAAATAAAAGATCTCTTAAATATATATTTGAAAGAGAAATGAGGAAACCAGTCAAACTATTCTCCTGGGGACAAAAGTTTTTTTTTTTTCCCCCTTTTTAAAAAACCTTCGGTTTCAAAAGCACTTACAGCTGTATGTTTCAGTAGTGCTGCTGAATGTTTCTGAAGAATAAAGTTTCAGAGTGGAATTAATTACACAACAATCTAGCTTCTTAACTAGAATAATCTTCTCATATAAGTTTGATCGCTGGATTCCAGACAGTTTACTATTTCTCTCCCCCACTACCCCAAAAGCAAAAGGAGCCTAAATCGCAGTGAACAGAAAAAAGCATTCTAATCCAAAGTGATCTCAAAAAGCAACATTTCAAAGCCTTTCTTAACATTTCAAAACTTGAAATATTTCTGTGTATAAAAGTTATTTACTTGCTCGAGCAAAAGGGATAAAAATTAAAACTAAACGAGCCCAAGACTTTCAACTCCAACAAGATGTTCATTTAATACTCGATTTCATATATTATTCCTAAACTGGGTTAGAAAAGTAATGTGGTTTTTTTTTTTTTTAATCAAATAAACAAAACACCAAAACAGAAATATGCTCAATCTAATCTCTTGCTACTCCTACCTTTAGGACACATAAACCTGATTAAGTCCTTTCCTCTGAGTCTCGCTGGCTCCAGGTCTGTTACATCGGTGGAAAAAAAGCAGACTAAGAGAGACAGATGCAAAGTGGAGATGATGTTAGAGAGGAACGAGATACCTTCTCCACCACAGATCCGCACACACTAACTCCCTGTCTGTGTGTTAGAATAAAAGGCTGAGGGATGGCAGGCTGTCAGCTGCTCTGACATCATGTTCAGATGGAAATGCTACCTCCAGCTGTGCTCCTTTTAATGCCATATGCTACTCCTCTACACTCCTGCCACCAGCTTTTTCTTAGGAGAACTTTTCTCTTCTGTTAGTATAAACAAAATACTTCAAAGTCTCCCTTTTTTTTCCCCCCCAAACTTTCTAACAGAAGAAATTGAAAAACTCAGCATATGGAGTTCTACTGTATTTATGGAATAGCAACACTTCTGTCTTAAGTTGGTGGACTGGCTTACATACTGACAGCACACTCAAGCCACGGTGCTATTCAGGAAATCCAGATTCACTTTTATTCAACTCCAACGTTTAGCTTCAAAGGCAGCTTAGGGATATTTTTAAACCAACCCAATTGACATCTCCAGTCCCATTTCGACATTATTATGGCACTTTCATATTTTCCCCCTGCCGAGATCATGGCATACGTGTCTCAGGAGGGTGGAAGACTATTCAGAACTACTGCTCCAGCCTCGTTCACCTTCTTATTCCCCTCTTATTTAACTATTTATCTCCAGCTACCCTCTCAACGCAATTTCTCACACGGCCAGTTCATGCAAATTTCAAGTCTCGGTATCAACGTGGTGAAACTGCACTTTCTGAAATCCTGGAAAGTACTTCGGTTCAATGAGACAAATTAATAAACGGTCACAACCTGCTACCACCACTTAACGTGAACGCTGCACCTGCGTATCTGATCCGCCTCCCGGCTCAGAAAAAGCAGAACTTTGTCTTCCCCTTGATCTGTGTCCCATAACAATCTCTTTTTGGGTCACTCTGTAATGTTTCGTGATCACAAGAAAACCTTTCAGAAAGGAGGTGGGGGGGGGGGGGAGCAGGTTGAGTAAGTTTGGGAACTTTTTAGCTAGACTTTGTGGGTCTTTACTATGGCTGATGAAATCGTAAGGTAACCCGGGCTGGGCCGACCAGTGCCCTGCAAGGTGCTGCGACATCTGTGAATGTCAAATACATCTCCACAGACTCCCGGGAGGGTGAGGAGTAGAACAGGCCTGAGGCGCAAGTGTCGCAGCCCTGCCTGGTGATCAGCACTCCGTTCTCATTAGGAAACCGCGGCAGAGTTAAATAGTAACAAAACCCAACATCTCGGTCCTGTCCTTTTCGCTCTGCCAAAGTCACAAACCTAACTTTCTCTAACTTCGCGGGGAATGACAGAATGACGAACGCCTATGCCAGGAGGCACCCTTCGCAGCTAAATTCCTTCTCAGCCACACAGCCTCTACTCCACAAATGCCCTCGCCCCATTCCAATATATCAGACATTAATCACCCCATTTACCCAGTGGGGTGGGGGGTGAGTGACAGTTTAATGAGTCCCAAGCACCGCAATGGGCCAGCGACTCCCACCCCACAAATCAACCCCTTCACGTCTTGCTACCGCGGGGTCCAGAGAGGTTTTGTGGGGTTGGGTTTTTGTTTTTCCAAGAGGTGGGGG